ATTTTATTATACTGTCTAATATTAGAAGACTCGTTTGTTTACAAAGCATCTAGTATCGCTCGACATAGGTGCCTTTGTTATCGCCGCCTCTTTCGTTCTATAACCGTCCGAAGGGATTCGTGCCGATGATGTACGAGCTGGCTTATGGAGAAAAGCCCTTTTTTCTCCTCGTTACTCCAAAGTGCGCTGCCAAGTTCCATAATAATTCTTTCCCGAATATCATTATTATACCGTCGGGTCTTCGTTACAGTCGATCTCCCGAATTTTACGCGGCTTCGGAATGAACCGAAGAACGTAACAAAGCGGAATGAGAAAGTGAACTGCCAGCGTGCTCACACACACACACCTGCACACGCGCGCAAGTAACTTCTCTTTGCTATTATAATTGGTTGATACTTATATTTTATGGAATAGTGAAAGATGAAAAGAGAAAGAAAAGTTGTGAATTTATTGATAATATGTTAACTTTTAACAATGTTAAGTGTTATCAGTTATACTGTCTCAAAAGCTTGTTAGTACTTTAAAGTTAAATGCTTTACAGATAACCAGTCATACATACAATGTGTATGTGTGTGTGTATTGGTAAGAAATATATTTCTAAAAAATCAAACTACTTTTATATTTAACTTTACTGCAACAAATCTGATGCACGAACCATCAAGTTTATATTATTAATATGACATGTATTTATATTACGCTTAAAGACAGAATCATGAACATAAAATTCTAAAAAGTTATGACGTGCATTAACAAATAAACTAAAAATATTTGCTGAAAAAAAAAATTAGTTTAGCAAAAAAACTGATAGTTTTAAATAACCTTTTATCAAAAATTTCCTTTCAAAGAATGTCCGCCAGTCTCTGTAGTCAGTTCCTAAAATAGTTTATCGATCTCTTAAATATTTTGTTGAGAAGAATATAGTCAATTCGGAATCAATCGATTGGAGGAGTGAACCGGGTCTGTATCTGCCCTCTACAAGAAGAGTTTATAAGCTCCAGCTACCATCGATATACTTGATACTATACGTAGTGATACCATCCTGTAATTTCTCAAGGATTTTATAAAAATTATCACTTGTTGGTTTACAAAGATATCGGTTATTGATACAGTAGTAATTACATATAAATGTTTGTACCTGTTATTCGAAATTTATATTCAAAGGTAACTTTACATTTTTAATCACCATATAATATGTAAGGAGAAAAATATTTACTTGCTTATTATTATCTATTAGATTACTCTATATACTTAAATTTATAAGCTTTCAAATTCATTATTGATTTATTACAATATGAAATAATTTATGCATTTGATTTCTTACTTACCTACAACTTCAATGAAGACATTTTCTACACAAACTTATCATACCTCTTTTTTTAATCTACTATTAATAATTCTCTAGTTAAACTATAATAACATAAAATAAAATACTTTTATAAATATTATTCATAAGTATTAGTTGGTATAACTAAATGATAAAACATTATTTTAATCTTTATAAAACGTAATTAATTTCAACGAAATTTTGATGTAAAGTAAAAAATAATCAAGATATTTAATAACATATCATAAAACAATATAGCATTAAATAATCTAATGAGAAATGGCTCACCGAATTGATATCGAATCGATTTTGATATGCCGATTTCAGCGTTGATTCGACATTAATTCAACGAATTATTTCTCACTGGAAAAGCTTTATTCGAAATTACTGACTTCAAATTGATCAGATATATCGTAAATGAATGATGTGGTGAACAGGAACGGGGACCTGCGTAATATCTTTTTATTGAAATACAGTTTCCTTTCATTCAGTCTATAATTTAACAAATTTTACTCCGTCATAAATCAAAAGTTTCGATGAAAAGAATGGAATGACCTACAACACAAACGTAACAATTCGCACAAAGAATTATCACGATTGTCTAACATTTATTGCCCAAGTACACGATAAGTTACACATTATATTTACATGGGAGGGAAGAGTTATTGTGACCACAAATGCAAAAACTAATATAACTTACAGCTTAGCGTATATACACGTCCCTGAGGCTTATTCTACATTATCGTACACACACTATTATTATACAATTATATCAACAGCTCTATGCATTGAACAAACGCGGCGTTGTATAGTATAATTTACCATATATATATTCGATTCTCACACATCTACGTATATGTACATAGCACATTTGGGGTCATCACAAACATACGCAAGCGGCATCGTGAAATTGATGGGTTTATTTGGAAAGCCAAACTTGCAATTTATAATCGATTGATGAAACAGATTGATAACAAAAATTGTTAGGAAATGAAATGAAAGTTCAACTGATGAATCGGTAGTATTGCTTTGACGACTAAAAGTATTGCACATTCAATATTTTTTGTGCAAGAGCGATGTTAAATTATAATATATAGCAATTTACAGATTTATTTTTTCATACCTAACATATACACTGAAAAAATTAAACATCTCATACAAAAAGAATTAAAATATAGATAACCAGAAATTATAGAAATTGTAAATTTTAGCTATAATTTTTTTCAAATTTAAAAGTTTTATCTTTCCTATATATTCATTTCACATACAAATGATAAAGTTTATATTAATTACTTAAATATATATATTAATTATCTAAAATAATATAAATGAAATAATATAAACAGTCAAAGTAACAATGTTTTTATGAATATTAAACATAAAATTTCTATTATTAATAAAATTAATTTATAATTTTCTAATTGTTTATCGGTTTATAGTTCAGAAAGCACTATACGTTAAGATATGACACAGTTCATTGATGTATGTACTCTAGATAATAATAATAATTTATCTAAAACATTAATCACTAAATTATGGTGTACGGATGAAGAACTGATAATGCTTTCTATAGATAAATGTTACTTGTATGTACAATAAGCCTGTTATACATTACTTATTTGTATAATCTCGAGGTATTCGAATTAAAAATACTTTATTGATTATTCCGTTGAAAAACGGAATTTTCAGAAAATTATTGTCATTCTGTAACATAAATAATGATTCTATTAGATTAACATTCTTATGTGTGTGCGAAAGTTTCTAAAAAAATTGAAAACAAATTCTAAGAAAAAAAGCAATTAGTATGTAAAATTATACGCTATTTTTTTATCGTAAACTAATGTTTTATATTTTTGTGCTGCTATTAACAATATCTGTATTTAAATTTTTAACAGATTAATTATAAATTTAACGATATAATTATCGTTTGTCTCTTCGATACCACAATAATTAACACGCCATCAATAAAAGATATGCGATCGGATCCCTTACGAGGTAATATAGGCAGGTTTTATAAAGTGTTATTACATTATCCGTACCATGAACTACAATAAAGAACACATCCACTATCAGTTTGAATAAAATGGAAAATGGAGCACTTTGTAGCTACTATATAGAGAGAGATCATTGGAATAGTCACTTATAATATAATACGGTAAATCCGTTTTACAATTCTCCATGCTTATAAGTTATTGCGACATACTTAAGCGAAATAAATTCCTCTCGATGAAAATATTTCCTGTGAGGCACATTACTTTGTTTCAGCAACATAATTTATGTATTCGAGAAACAAACAAAAGGTAGAGTAAATTAGTAAATTATAATTCTATATTGTAAACATAAATCATAAAACAATAATAATTTATATATATTGGCATTATTATGAGCTGTTTATTATTTAAATTAACCATTTATTCATTTTATATTAATTTCTTAATAAATTAAATTTCAATCTATTATTTCAGATTTCTTATTATCTTTGCTACATATATACAAGAGGATTTATTTATTCTTACTTTCTACATAAAACGTAACCAAATTTAGCACTCTCTAACATTTACATTTCTTATAATAAGAAAAGATACTAAAATTAAAAATTCCATATATACATACTTTGAAATCAGGCGAAAAAGATAATTGCAAATTCTAAGAAATAATTGACAACTTTTTACATTTAAAATTATTTGAAATTGTCAGTTACATATAACGCGATCACTTTTATTTTTTGCGTCCGTATACGTTTAAACATTATTAGCAAATTGCAAGCTATGTACGCTTAATATTTTTAAATGCAAAAGTAATGACAACACACATATATTTACATTAACATTATTATTTATATAAAGAGATTATTGCAATAATTTACTAACCCACATTTTGTATAAAAGCGAAAAATAAATATATATTTCCTATATCTCATTAATTATTTATTTTCTTCGATTTTACAAAATATGAGTTAATTCACTATTGCAGTAAACACCTTTTACGCGTGTTTGTAAAACAAATAATACACTGTTAAATTAAATTTTTAACAAATCAAAGTGAACATTTTTTATATATTACATTAAATGTAAAAATAGAAAATACGCTTGCACAAAGCAAAACTTTTTGAGTGAGCGCTGAAATATAATTTGTATGCCTTTGTCAATATTTGTTTCATTAACTAATTAGAAAATGAGATTGCAAATAATATGTGCCCTTCTTTACTGGATCTACAGACCTTCTTCTTTAAGTGATGGCGAGGTCAACAGAGTTACCGCTTGAAATGGAAACGGTAAAAGCCAGCTACTCTGGCACCTTTAGCGCAAAAGGGGTTAATAGATTGGTGGCTTTCTATGTCTTTAGGGAAGGAAAGTCTATTAGTACACGTTCGGCTTGCAATGTGTTAATTACGCTTCTCACGAAGTACCCTGGTCACTCTGGCCTAATCAGCCAGGTATTCCGGACTCCATGTAAAAACGATTTTTCTCTCTATGCTTCGCTCTACGCTTCGCTTTATGCAAATTTCATGTACAACAGGAAGAGATCTTTTACGGAGAAGAGCGATCCTACGCAGCATCAGTCATATCGACATTTCTTCGTTGTAACATTCACCACGATACCTATAGTTTCGTATCTGGAGAGCGCTTTCTACATTGCGTTAATCTTTGCGTAACAGTTTCTACACAACGATGGCCTACGTGGATAAACCACCGGCCAATATCACAGTCATGGTGGTTATCCCGAAATTCATAAATAAATGACGATGAAACGACGATGAAGCCGTCGCCGATTGAAAATCAATTTGCTCATCACCAATATCGTCGCCCTTTAACATTGGCTCGTCTTTCATACCGATAGCTTTCTTCTCATGATTGTGATCCATCTTCCATGTTTTCTTCGATTCACGCCTTGAGCCTGGTTTGCGCGTCGTTGGCGGCTTATCGATCCCTGAAAATGGCGACATAATAAATTTGGTGATTAGAGTTAATGTTACCAAGTAACGTATGAAGTGTGCTCTCGATAAAAAGGGAAATAGTTTGTAGCATGCTTTTAGTATCGCTAGTACGGACCTTTCTGTGATTTAAGAGACTAATGTATATCTTGTTACTTTCTTCCATATAGATTCTTTTCAGAGAGTTACTTTTCCTCTTATTTACTTTTTGAAGTTAGTTTTTTTTTTCTTTAACAATCCTTTTGCACATAATATACTCGTTTTTAACTAAACATTTTTTTTAACATTTACTAAACATATTATCATTAATTTATTTACTGTTAAGGAGGTTTGAGCGTTACTTTGAAGTCAAAAATGCAACTGAAAAAATTTATTATTATAACGATTCGGAATCATGCGTAATATTAGTGTAATAAATTCTGGATATTATTTATGTGCTGTATTCTTAGTAAATTATTAGTGAATAGAATATTAACAAATGTATAAGATTGTCAACGACTCGAGAAGTCGAGTATACACTTGACAACGTTGCACTTTGCGACGTGACGGGCAGTGACAGATTATAGCGATCATGGCGAATTATAAGGAAGAAATACAGAATCGGACAATAAAGTTTTAAATCCATACGGTCAAATTCGATTGTCCTGTTTTGTACACAATTGTTGATATTTCATCTGTTAAATCCTAGTTTTTCAAAATCTTAAGTTGGCTGAGTGTGTATAAATCGGTGATTATTTACTTCGAAACGACTGTTTCCCATAAGAAGCTTTGTTAAAATGGTCAATTTCAGAATGACGTTACAAAAAAACTATACGGTCAATACCTATTATCAAATTATGGGATTATTTATATACAGTGTTTATCTACATCATATTAAAAAATTAAGTCTCTAAATTGGATTTCGATTAATGCTCGAACCTTTTCTTAATGTAAGAAATTACATATTTCGAATTATATAATCGAAAAACTATTATTGTCCAAAAGTAAATTTAAATAAGAAATTCTTTAATTGAAGTAAATGAAATTAAATACGTATGAGTTTAAATATGCGCAATCCATTACGATAAAATAGAAACAGCGCAATTTCAAAGTTAATTATACAAGCTAAAAGCTCGTGTTTATGTATTAGTTCAAGCCATGCTTATCGCCATGTTTACTAGCATTGGTTTTATCAATCGGTTTCAATGTAAAATCATTTGCAACGGATATCGAAATAAACACACACATGCTTTCTATACACTAAATAAAAATATTTATAGGACGGTGATTATAAATTTTCACAATTACGATGTCGATAAAAGTCAACGATAACGAAATAAAAAGTACATTAACTAATTGACAAATCGAACATTGGCGCTTAAAAATCGGAGTGATCGTTTGAATAGAGATTGAACATCCGTCGCAGTATGCAACACAGTAGAAAGCCGCTTTACGTCGAATAGCGTTTGAAGCGAACGGGCGTAAATGGCGAATCGAGATATCGGTAAAGCCTGTCCGCGTGTAATAACCGGAAAAATAATCGGCCAGGCGGTCGGACTTTCCGCGCGATGCTCCCCGGTTTGACGTATTGGAATGTCGTCCGTACGGTGTTCCCGCAAACCCGGAGAGCTCTTGTCACTTGCACACTCCGTCGAAATGTCGAGAGTTCGGAAGCGATATTAATTCTCTCGTGCGTGCATCGACATTCCCGCACGATGAGACGAAAGTAGACTTTTTCTAATTAATCCGCAGGATGACAACGTGCAAGCCCGCACAATGTACTGAGGTGACAATAGTTAACATTTGAGACTACAAAACAAAGATGAATATCGATGGATTACGATGCAAGTATATAAGCGTAAAGACAATTGTACGTTTCCTTTAATTTTGACGTAGTGGACATATATAGATCCATGTAAACTAGTTAAAAAGTTACGAAATAGGGTTCACAAAATTTGAAACAAAATTTGAAAAAGTACTAAATTTCAATAAATATTTATATGAATAGTTTTAATTGTAAGTAAATATTTACTAAATATAAACACATTTTTATTTAATACAAATAAATAATATCATTAAATATTTATTCACTGTAAGTAAATAATTTACTTATAGTATTATATTTCAAAACATATGCATTAAAATTTAGCAAATATTTTTTCAGTATATACATTTTCAAATGTATTTCCGCTAATGTGATATTTTCAAATACACATATATGTTTTAATAAAATAATTTTTATGAAAAAAGAGAAATATATTTATATAAAAATTTTTTTTAATGTACTTACACACTTCCCTATATTTTATCCTAAAGGCTCTTTTGCATATTTCAGTCTGAAAGTTACCTTCGTGAACAGATGTGAGCCAAACATTGTTGAAATAGTAATCAACTTTCGTTCGATGTGCAGAAGCTTATGCAACGTTGATTTCAATTCGCGAGCGACAATTGTGTTTGCACTTCTGCAAGGTCAATGCGTTTATATTTACTCGTAGTAGCTGTTTGCAAATCTCGGAAAGCGTACGCTGCGCAATGTATTCGGAAGTACAGATGCAGAATGTGTGCTCTCGGCGATCCTGACAGTTCAACAGCGCAATTTAATAAATACATTAATTAATACGCTCGGACACTACGTTCCGGTTGAATATCGGAATTGTGGTCGGACCTGCGTTACCGCGCTGTTACCGAAAAGCCGTTGAAACAGCAGTTCGTCTCGAATACCTTAAATTACGAATTTACATTTATTAGCATGCCGTTATATCATCGCCTTTGATGCTTGCTGTGTCTGCGGTAATGAATATTGCGACTGTGGTTTAAGATGTTCAGAGCTCTTCCACCTCACTGCAATTAGCCGCAGTAATGTGTTCCACCGTAAAATCCGTAATTCTGTTCACTTCACTACTGGTGATGCCTGCCATTTCATGATAACGCTCTTTATAGCGCCTGAAGGTGAGCAATGATCAACCGTAGGGCTAAAATAATTCAACTTGTCTTCTTTCCATTTATCTTTTCATCTGTCTTTCGCAAAGAATTACGAATAAAGTGAAGCGAATTATGGATATACCTTTAAAAGTTTCATTCGCACCATCAGTCTCGAAGAAGTAAAAGTATTAAACAGCGGAGAGACGCAATTGTTTTGTTCTTATATTAATATAATAATTAGAACTCTATACTGTACAATTATAGAAATTAAGAGAAATCTAATAATTTCATGCGCGTGGCATGCGTATTGTATCTGTAACTGTTTAGGTAACTTATCAGAGATACACACAATTTAACACAACTATAATTTTCGCATTGCATTGTAATATACCGAGTATATATAGATAATGACAAAATAATAATTACGTTACTAAATTGCTAATAACTTCCAGAAGTTACGTTACCGCGTGTAATAGTAGCAGGTATTCTGAAATCAGATTTGCTGGGCCAATTGCGACTTAATTCTTTCTTAAAGAACATCCGTTTCTACCGGCAAGCGAAGCAAAAGTGAACTAACGACCATGGCTACCACGGCACGTTTATCGGTCACATCTATATGCGCGCGCGCGCGCGCACGCTCCCTCATCCGGCGATATAATGCAATTTGAATATAGGCCATCATGCACAGACTTTGCATGCCATGCGTGCACGTCATTGTACAGACTCGGAACGAGCGACGCGGTGTAGCGCAAAGTTTCCTCGCAGTCTTAGCTGCCTCTTAAAGCATCCCCTTCGCGACTTGTTCCCTTATTGCGCTGCGTCCGTCGACAATTCGTCCTTTCTTACCCTCTCTGCCCTCTAACATCCCTTGTAATAATCAAGCTCGAGTAAGATTCCCATCAAAGTTAACCGACTTTAGCGGAACATGTAATCCACAGACCAGTGCCCCCTCCTCGCGGTAATTATTGCTAATATTGTTAAACGTGTCGCGCTGCCGGAAAAAGCTTCCGATAATAGCGACAGAGAGGCATGCTAGTCGACTGACATTTCAACGAAACGCAAGCCCGTTGAATTAAATTGCTGGACTAATTATTGGAGAAGTGATTCGCGAGAATGGAAATTCGTGATGGTCTGTACAGGCGTGCGGGCGTGTCCCCGGGCTTTCCCGTCGTCGCTTCGACCGCAGCATTTTATTTGCAATTGTCGGTAATTAAGTGCCTCACTGCGGCCACTCTCCTTCCCTTTCCCCTTTCCGTTATCCAATCATCATGAACGGTGATTTTTGTTAAAGCCATCGTTTTCTTTCTCTCCCTTTGAGCGCATCGCTTCCATCCGTCCTCGCCATCGTCGACACTCTAATTGGAGAGACGATCAATTAACATCAGCGAGGTCGAACGGAACAGACGGGTCGTGCTTTACGCATTTGGCGTGCTTGCCACTTGAACCTCATGCGTGAGTTCCAATGAAATATAATGACGGCGTGCGGAATGGACACGTGACGTATGACGCGAAGATGAGATGACATGACGTATGACGCGACGCAGTGCGATGCAACACGACACTACGACTCGGTCCCTTATTCCTTATGCTTTGTTGATTTGCAGCGACGATGCTTTCCAGTATATGTGCCTCCTTATTGAGGATTACTTATTCTACACTTTCACTTTGCTCTTCTTATATTTCTTCCCGCGAAAAAAACTAACTAACGTTGTTAACTAACGAGCGGCAACATGTCCTGCGAAATCGTTATTCTTTTATCCCATCAACGCGACGAGGGTAAGTGGTAGAACAAGGGTAAACAGGTACGGAGGTTGTCTAGCTTCCAAAGTTCATATGCATAGAACGATGATAGAGATCAAGCGACGGCACCGTGGAATGGCGCGGGGAATGAAGGGTATTGGTATACTGAGATTGGGGCAATTACGTCGAGTAGGCAATATCGATCGGCGATAAACCGATAAGTTATCCGTTTAAGAATCGTGCCCGCCACCTGTTTAATTTCGGGACAGGAGAGATGTTTCGTTGCTCTCGAAATAACTATTGTCGAGATACAAACAAATTTTTTATTCATCTCGCCGCGTACGCCATTATTTCATAATGAGTTTTAATCCATACATACGTTTTCTCATGAAACATATTTGACTACAAAATCCATATCGTATTTTCCAGTAATAAGCAAAACTAATTTAAATCCTTTATATAAAATTAATGCGATTAAAAATAATAAAAATGATATAATGATATTAACATGCGGCTCAAGTTTGCGTTATTTATTAAAATGTAATATTTATTATTTTCAACTATTTATATGTAAAATATAGGGTATACAAGTAACTAATCCTTTTCCTGCACATGATACGCGCGATGTAGGTAACGGGAAGTAGAGAAGCAAAGAGAGTATGGCAACGTTTACAAAATAAAATTTAATTATCAGTAAATTATTTGTATCATGTAATTATGTCAGATAATCACTACGAGCATGAATATTAAAATGCACATACAGGTAATACACGCAATAATACAATAAAATACGTATTATGAAAATTAAAAGAGATATTTTTAGTGCATGCAGTTTTTCGTACGTAGAATGCAAAGTGAACAAAAGAATTAGAAATTGGCCTGAAATTATAAACGATTAAACGTGTTCTTTATGCGAAGATAAGCAAGTATTGTACATACCGCATAAGTACGTTACATGCAACTTATGCAAATTAATGAGTTCATAAATGTTATACTCACTGTAAAGTTTTATCTTTCCATCGGTCTCTCCGAGGGAGTTTGTCGCCACGCATCGAAAGGTACCGAAATCCTGTGCGCGTACAGATTTTATCACGAGCTTCATAAGTATTTCATACAATCCTTTAGGAATTGTTTCGACCTTATAGTTTTCGTCTGAAAAACATTGGAAATATCGATGTATTAAGTGCGATAAATACGGATGTATCTGAATCGCAAATGCTATAATTTCCATAGAGATTTACGTGATCAATCAGCGCCCATACATATAACATTAAATGTATAGTTTATAAAGAAGCACACACTCGTTATATCAAATTGTTATATCAAATGCGTGAGTCAATAAAATCAACAATAATTAATAAAATAGAGCTTGTGAAGCGCACGCATGCCTAGATGAAAAATAAACTCGTTCCTCCTAATCGAAGTCAATGATTCAGAAGGTTGTTAACGGGAAACGCATGACACACAAAACCGGCTTTTTCGCGTTGATGCAATTGTACTTGTCTCTCGTTAAAAAGCTAATTTGTTTCGCGTGTTTGCCGCGAATGGAGGAGCACTAACTAGACAGGCTTCCATGGCAGCTCGGAATAACAGAAAATTCCGGATCGATGCAGCAGTAAACTTCATATTTACGTTCCAAGCCGCTTAAACATCATGGAACCGCGCACAGTACGCACAGAACAGACCGTGCAAATGTCGTTTTCGTTCTGGCGCGTGGAAGACGACGTGAATGTCGATTTTCGTGTTATTAGTTCCAAGTTATACGACACTGTCGATGCGGAAAACAGGTATTTTAGAGGAAAATTTAGTGTTCATATCGGTATATCTCGTGTTATACGAAGCAATAAAGAAATCATATTGTTCTGTAAGAGTTTGTTTGTTTCGATTATAAGAGTATACGCAATTTTATAAATACATATTAAAAATCTGTGGAATATGATAGAAATAAAAATTTATGTTGTTGCATTTCATTGGGATATTTCTGATAAAAAGGAAACATATAAAATCTGCACATCTACGTAGTAAAAGTAAGTTCAATATGTGTGACTGAACATTTTGATTAATATAAACTCGATATTTCTATTATACATTTATATATAATAATATTAATAATTTATATATAATAATAAATTTTTGGTGTCATTTTAGATAATCTATTTTTCCTTGAATCGTTTTATGTTTTATTATTATATCTGCATTGAATAAATGTCTTTTTTGACACATTTATTTTATTATTAATATTAGTTTAATAAAACATAAAATGACAGCAGCTAATAATTTAAGTCAATTATTTATGTGTACGTATTTGTCCAATGTAAGAATACAAAGTAGCGCATTGAATTTAAAAATATCGACTACATACTAACAAGAATTGTCTCTTTGTAATTAATTGATGAAAATTTTAATGCCAATATTGTACAATATTATATCCATCGATTTATCAGAAACGTCTTGTGACTTTCGTCAAACATCAATTAAGCTACTAACAAATGACTTTGCGATATAGATAAAAATTACCGTCTGCAAAAAAAGAATTTCGCGTGCTCTTAATTAATTTGCAGATAATTCATTATAACGCTTTAAGGAAAAATTTCAGCCTGTACGAAGGGTACTGTCACGAATTAACGACCCGACACGAGATGGCACGCACACGTCTTAAGTTTTAATGCCGCTGCCCTTGCCCTTAAACCTTTGCATATCGCAAAGGTGCATGGTAGCAATTAGAGTGAAACGACCACGTTAGCGCGGTGTAATTAAGGCGAATTGCATTACAGCTGCTCGTGCGTGCACTTCCCGACGTGGGCAGAAAAGGAAAAAAAGAGAAGAAGAAGAAAAGAACTTGTAACAATTATTTCACAAATTGGAATAAAATGCGCTCTCAGTTTCATTAAAACTCTCATTCTTTCTACTTTGGAGACAATGAGTATCATTCACGGATTCTTTAATGATAAATATTATATATCTTAAGAAGCAATTCAATATTTGTATAATTTGAAAAAGAAATAATTAAAACTTATTAATCTTGCAATAAATTAAAAAAGTAAAACTTAAGAATTGAATGATTAGTATCACTGTCTTAATGTCTCCATGATAAAAATGTTAATTTTATATTTTGCATATTTGTGTACGTTCTACTCAATTCATTCTAAATAAATCAATATTAATTAGTTAGTTACCCGTCATGTTGACAATTGATTTTTATTTGTGCTTAATGAGAGCATAAAGAATAACGTAAAATATTTATTTTTTGTAAAGCTGCCTTAATTTCATTATTCTTTTTTGTGCACTATTTCTATATTACTATTGATAAAAGTGAAAAGCATATTATATTTGGACAAACAGAAATATATGCTCACCATTGGCAATAGTTTCGTTCGATGGCTTCGTCCAATATGTGATAGGACTGGGATGAGCTTCGCTACGGCATTCCAACGTAACAGTTTGTCCTTCGTAACCACCCACTAGCTGATTCTCAATCCAAACCATTGGCTGAACTGTGCAAAATATATTTCAATAAAATATCCATTAAAATATAAAAATTACATGTTTTTAATCTTAATTAAAAGAAACACATTTTTTATTTTTATTTCATAAAAACTAGCAAATGTTTCATACTTTATCGAACTTTTTAATTGGCGTGAGATAAGAAATCACACAATATGACATTGACTATATATATTATTTTTATTGTACATAGCTCTGCAAAAAACTGTTTTTAATAAAGTCTAGCTGACAATATAATGTTAAAATATACTTGACATTAAAAACTACGTAAAACTAGGGAAACACAGTACACAGAATTTAACGAAACATCCAATTTTACGAACTCATCACAAGGTGCAGCATCTGACGTTTGACGTATAAAAGTCTTACTAAAGCTCCAGCCTCCATTTTTAAAACATGTTCCCTTAAAATAGGGCTCTTATTTTTTTAATCAATCCAGAAACGTCACTTGTCCTTTTAGTAAGCGACTTGTTATATAGCGTAGCAAAATTACGTAGCCAGCGGCAGGAAAGATTTAACTCCGTTTTCAGGAACAATGGCCCTCGGGATCAGCTATTCACCATGCCTACCCCGAGAGGCGTCATTACGCGAGATCGCTCACACCACACGCGAATACGACAATTTAAAATATATTTTGCGACAAGCGCTCGACGCGTGTATAAGAAAGGATTTCTACTACTAGAACGGGGGACAGAACTGCATAAAATATCATTCGCATGCATTTTCCACAATTATATATGCTTGAAAAAGCAAAGGACGGAAACGGAATAGTTAGAGTTTTGATTGAATTAAAATTTTCGAACTGAAATTTTAATAATATTACATCGTGTTATATTGTATAACATTCTGAAAAGATTAATTCTGGAAAATTAATTCACGATGATTATGATATGAATAAATTTCGATTAATCCTCGTTTTTCCAGGGAGATTAAAAAATTTTACGTAATATTTTTTCCACCTTGTAAAATGGAGAGAAATGCATTTAATTATATTTCTCTCAATCGCAATGGAAAAGCCATTTATGCAATGTATTTCAGCACATTTCACGCTACCGCTTGGCTGGAAGTGTTCCTTAACGTTGGTCATAAAACGGAATTTAGGATCACGTAGCAAAATTACGTACAGTGAACAGTGAGGAGGATCCGTTTGCTGACTGTTGGTGGCACCCCGTTGGACGCTATGCAGAGATACGGTCCCATATGGAGACGCGTGATTCGTGTTATTTCCAGCTCTGGACCCACGATACTCCCCGCTGCAACAGTTTACATATGTAGATGTAGACATACAAATTCATATGGACATGGATTACGACGCATTATTATATACGCTTCGTTCATCGTTCAGTGAAACACACCCATGACACGATCTGACCAATTGCACACGTTAATACCGCGCCGTTAATTTTTAAGCATTCCAAATTATGAGCATATTTTTGAAATTACAAATCATAAATTTAATCATCTTGGCTTGTGAATGACAATATCTTTCATAATAAAAGATAATAATTTAATTTGTTTAATAATGTTCAGGATCAAATAATAAACAATGAGCATATCTGCAAATTATTTGTGGAGAAATCAAACTCTTTTTGCTAGCACTGTATCAACAAGATAACACATTTGTTTATTAGGAATAGCGAGTATACTATTGAAGAAAATACCTTTCACGAGTTGATGTTTTTATAAAAATTTTTTTCTAAAATAAGAAAGCCTCTTTGGATCTATTATTTTAAATTATACACGCGTTTAATGTTTAAACTTATTGTTATTAGAAAATGCACATGCAATAATAATAATAATAATAATAAATGCACCTTTGTTATATAAAACAATGAAATATACATCTACGGTAATCAATTTTGATAAATAACTAATAACGGTTAAAAAATTTTTATTTTTTTCTCATTTTCTTTATATCTTCTTCTCATATATGTTGCATGTAACGTGTAGTGTTACCAATAAACGTATGCATGATAATTAAGTGGTAAGCAAGCAGCAACGTGAAGCATACTTATGTTCTGAATATTACGGAATATTAAAATGCGTAAATTATAATACACATATAGCCCAAATTTGTATCTTTCTATGCATAAAAAAGTAATTAAAAGATTTCGGAATACATATTATACATATTAAGTGAAAAAATGGGACGTTGATTCACTACTAAATGACATAATTTCGTTAGACTGCACATTGTATTAAATGGAACGTAACATAAATATTAATATGCAAAAGTGGACAAAGTAGCACTCATTACGTCAGCTGTAATTTCATATGTTGTAAATTAATATTTGCTCTCTGATATTTTCCAATAATTTCTGTTTCGCATGTTGCAATACGGTCGACTAGCTTAATATTGCGAAACAATTGATTTCAAGTTTAATTAAAATGTGTATTTCCTTAATTTCGATATTATATAATTAATCGTGCTAATCGATTTGTACATTGAAATTACAATTAGTTCCGCGTCGCGAGTGTGTAATGAAGTTAAATTGACAATCTAGCACATTCATTTCGAGATTGATTATCATATAATTTACATAGTTCCTTTACAGATCAACGGCCTACCGATGTATAGGTATACATATATCGTACTGTTATCAGAATGATAGTTTCATAATTTACACAATATGAGAATTTACAACTTATTAAATAATATATTAATACAATATATTTAAATAATATATACATAATAAAGTATCCTATTTTAATAGAATCATCACAATGAAAGTAGAAGTATACACAATATACGTGTATGTATGTATATACGTATAAGAAAATTTTAATGTCAAATATAATAATTAAATTTGTTCTTTAAAAGAAAAAACTCAAATAATATAATCAGCTTCTAATTACAATATTATTACTTATTGTATTTATATTTATTAAGATATTTATAAAATGTTAAATAACGTAAAATATAATCGTTTTTTTTTTAACAATTTTATTAAAATATATATATAACAATAATTTTATTGTTATATATATTTTATTACACTTACCACACTTGGGAGTATAAATTATTCCATTCGTGCTGGATTTGTTTTTAGCATTATTTTAAACACTATTGTATCAATAGCATTTAAATATATATCGCAAAATTTGTGCGTAACAACGTCTGCATATTTTGATAACAGTTTGAAAGGCGCTTTCGTTCATGCACCTGTTGAGGCTTTCGAAGTAAATTCGTACTTCAAACTTTTATCGTGTGCAGAAAGCAAAATCTCTTAGTATGAATTATCATACAAATAAGAAAACGTCGAACACTTTTCTCGACTATTATAGGAAGTCAAACGGAGTGCGCGGATTTCGATTGCGAAAATCGTAAGACCGATAGCGCGTTGCCGAATACTCCATTCTACGGTACTTATCGTCTAATGGAATCGCTACTGAATCTTTCTACAAGACCAACGTAAGACGAAGAGACGAATAGAGGGACAATGAGGCGCGACAAAATACTTTAAAGTGATTTCTTAAAATCGGCTTGGAAAAAATGGAGGTTTCGTCTGGTGAATAAATCATCAGAAGTCGGTCACAAATCGATATTTTACAGGGAGATGTCCTCTCGTTTCTCCACATTTCTGACCCTTGGCACGATTTCACACAAAAGGATAAAAATATATTACGTGTGTGTTGCACGTCGGTTTGTTGGTCTTTGAGAAACACTCCGAACTCAGTATGAACTGAGACGAATAGAAAAGGAAGGAGATGGAAGGAGAAGAGAACTTTTGGAGCCGTATAAGAGGAAGAGACTAAAGCGGTGCTTTAGCTATCTGTCTGATATACACTCGAAATGTCTCCGACACTTACTTGCGCAATTAGTCAGCATAAGATCTAAACAATCTTGATGCGGGTGGCGCGTAAAACAGGAATGCTCTTGAATGAAGCCGGCAGCCGAAAGCATGTGATTGGATTGAGAGAACGGTAAATCTTGCCAAACTAGATGTTTTTAAGAACAAAATCTTTTGAATAGAATTGCCGGATATCACTATTTTCTGCTTCAATTTTTCATAAACTGAAATAACCAATTGTGAAATCTGAATGTATAATACATGTACTAAGCCTTATAAAAAGTTGTTTAAAATATGTAAATTAGAATATAAAAAAATATTTTTAAAATGCATTTAAATATACTGGTAGATATATTCTTATAACTATAGAAATATAAAATCTCTGTTCGTCACATTTTTGTAATAATAATCTCTTCAAATATTACACGGATAGAACGGTTTTTGTTAGAGTATTTAAAAATTTAGCTGGATAGAAATCTGGAAATAATTCTGTTTTAAACCATCAAAATAATGTAGGACGCTAGAAAATCAGAACTTTTTACAGTATTGCTTATTAGTGTTCTTAATTGAGTGTCCTATAAATAATTATTTTGATAGTTTGACATAGTTACTTTCAGATCTGTGTATCCAGCTAAATTTTTAGACATTTCAGTAAAATCATTTCTATGTAATAATCAAACTGTATTTCCCTCTGTCCCTCCATTGAAAAATTGTCATGTATTAATGGAAAGTTTTCGTTAAAATATTCTATTGCAAACATTTGTATAACATTCCTTTTACGATAATTAAGAAATTAAATTACATGTTGATTACTAGTTCCTGCTAGATTTTACTCAAGACGGCATAACGACAGAAATTTGTTCGGAATTGTAAACAAAATTAATTTCTCACCGAATGGGTTAAGTAAATGAGTTTATATTATAAATGCTCAGCAATTTCATTTCGATGGACATTACGCCGACGGCACTTTGCTGATAATAACATCAGGAAAGAAACCATTTTGTGTAACGAATCGTTAAATTCTTTCGTCAATTGTAAGAGACTGTAGCAGGCGGAAAGATAATAAGAGAGAGAGACAGTAAAAATTACTGTTGAAAGTATTGTATCATCAATGCAATAAGAAAATAAATTAAAAATCAAAATTTAAAAAAAAACACAAAAATATACATAATACATGTATTGAATAAATAGAGATATTAGGAGTACAAAACACAATTATTAGAGAACAAAATATTCTTTTACATTTTTTATGATATATGTATAAAAGTTCATTCTCTTCTACGTTGTTTAAATTTTCGTATTCAGTTCTTTTCTATCTTGTTTAAAAAAACAAAATAATTTCGGTTTTTTTAATTGAATCGAATGCATGCACTTGGCAATATGTTAGGGATCCAAGGAAGAAATTTGTTTTGTCTATTTCATTTGCAACCTTTATCCGATTATCAGACGTGTTCAATTTACAATGAATTCAACAAAAGGCGCATCCGTATCGGTTCAATGCCGTCCATCAAAACTCATTCAATGATACGATCCGAGAGCACAATAAACGTCTCGCTCAATCAGCGCGAAACGAGACGGCGAGCTTTCTGTCACTCTGTTTTGGAGTGAGATCGAGAAAAAGCCTCGGAGCTGTTCTATGAGCAGCGGGTTATGTTCAATATACGCGAAACAACGCGAGACAACGATGCCGATGGGGCATTGAAAGGAGACGCGGAGATTGAGTGAGAGGAACGGGACTCTATCTAGAGAGTAACAACCGTCATTCGTTGCACGATGGAATACTCGACAATCGGCGACCAACGAAGCGGTGCGCCGTATGGTAATAGTAGTAGTACTAACAATAGTATAGTAATAGTAGCAATACCAAGATACGTACCCTGCCAGTTCGACAAGCTGATCGTGCCACCCGCTTCACGACGCCACGTGACCGTCGGCTCCGGTGTTCCTGTTGCCGCGCATCGTAGCGTCACGTTGCTACCCTCTCGCACCACCATATCCGTGCTGGTGGGATAGTCCAGGATGTCCGGTGGCACTGAAACAATGACCACATTGCGACGAGAATGTCCCAGAGGTTGCGTGGGCGCGAGCACGCGTACCAACGCGAGCGACTGTGCGCGATGATCATTCGCGCGGACCAGATAGATGGTTATCTCGCGACGAGCAGATCATGCACCGCCGCCGCCGCCTGTCGTGTAATATCCCACGTGCACACACTGTACACATCACAAGAGCACGCACGCCACCGACACATCCTGGGGTTCGCGCCCCATTCGTTCGCGGATAGCGGATTCGCTCGTAAAATCTCGATTCACCCCACCGATCTCACGTTCGGTTGAATTTTTGCAGAGTCCCGGACCACGTCCGGTCCGAGCTCACCCTCCGCTTCCGCTTTTCCGTAGGGAAATACCTTTTTGTTCCATTGAAGGAGCGATTTCTTTCTGTTTTCTTTTTTTTTTTTTTCTTCGCCGTGGTGATCTTTCGCGCGTGACTTTTAACGGTTCGTAACTCACGTTACTTTTGTCGCAGCCGAAAGCTCGACGGTGGTAGTACAATGACGCATAGTATTAGAACGAATCTGCTTTTTACGACACGTACGTGCCGACGAGTATGAGAGCACAAGCTACTGGATAAAATTCGGATAAGACTTACTTATCAAGCAGATATGTTAAATTGTCATAAGCTAGATTACCATACGAAATAACTGTATGTAACTATTATAATTCGTACGACTGTGCACGCTTTAAAGCACAAAATTACGATTTTTTTCATTTATGCATACATATATCTTTAATATATTTACATAAATATCTACAATATGTATACGTTGTTCCTACAAATTTTACGGAATGTAAAGAAGTTACAATTTATTAGTTCCATAAATTAACGAGAATAATACAAACAGGATCTGAACTTACTTAAGAGAATGATATAAATGTGTGTATGTGTGTGTGGATTACTCAAAAGGAACTACATAAGCAACCAATATATCATGCAAAGTAATTCATCACGTCGCTTTATCTGAGTTTAATAAACGACAGTTGAATTCGATATGGCGAATTGTTTCGTACTTAGACGATATATTAGACAGTTTAGGTTTAGAGTTATCGTCCATTCCTCTAATCTGAATAAATAAATCAAGTAAAGCATCAAAATCAATGCTAATCCAGGTATTTTAGATTGAGCTCTCTTGTCTCATTTGCATCAACATTTTTATACTGTCTCGTTTTAAACAATTTAAATCTGTTATTCGATCATTTTACACAAAAGTGTTCTTCAAAAAGATATGATGACATAAAACAAAAAAAAATACATGTGAAAAATAAAGCAGCTGACTAGAATTGTGAAAATTTCTCTCTTGTTTGGACAAACGCATCATAATATTGACGATGAATTAAAGTTAGATGCAGAAAAAAAACCACTTAGTTAGATATAGGGATCAAAATTTATAGGAATCTCCTGCTGTTTTGTATTTGTAACGATTTGTACGATTGAGCGAATGATATTTATTCATTTGACTTTGAACCCATTCATCAAATGAGTTTAAATATAGAAGAATTGTATTATCGTATTCAGAATGTGCTTTAATAAAGAGAGCTTCATGAAAGGATGTAAATTTAATTATATCTTAATCTGCTGTGGCGATTACTATATTAGTTAGATACGCAAAAGTTGTATTCTCGGACTACGGACTACGGATTACCATATTAGTTATTAACGCAAAGCTATATACTTGGACATTTAAATAATTAATTGAATATTTAATTTATTATAAGTATCGCTTCTCTTGTTCTCTTTCTCTTTCTCTATTTAAACTGTTCTTTACTTACATGGAAAGAACGATTTTTTTAAGTATTTAAAATACACATATCTGAAAATAATTTTGTTTGAACTATCAAAATAATCGTGTAGGGCAACCAAACTGGTTGTTAAAATGTTACAATTTTTTGTAACATTGTCGTAAACGCTTAAACGCATTCTATGTAATTATTTTCATGAATCAACTAAATTATTTTTAGATCTCTGTATCTCTACCTGAATTTTGAGATATCTTCAGAATACCATTCTTTCCGTATAAATATAATATGTATATTTTACATTGAAATTCAGATGGATTAATAGCTTGTAAAATTTTCACGCTGGCATCAGCAATACAAAGATTATTCACATGTAAACGGAAGCGATCTTTCCAATACAGCATGGAATATAGAATAACGTTTATTATAAAATATCGTTGGTTCTTCATGATGATCGACCAACGTACTCTTGGCGAAAATAATCTTCACCGCGAATGGAGAGGCCATTGACACGATACATTTTTCGCGGCAACAATGCGAAGAATTTCGTTATCGAGTTGCTTTCGAAACGGAATAGAGCCGAATATGGCTGGTGCACATGCAGTTTGTACACCGGAAAGACGGCTGGCCGGGAATGGTTTCCCACGGCTTACGCGGACTAAGTTCTTTCCCGGTCACGAAAGAGGCTACCTTCGTGAATAGTCCTTTCTCAGAGACCGACGCCGACGCGACGTCGCGTCCCCCTGGTGAGTTACGAAAGACGTGTTCGGAAGGCAAAGAGGTTCCAGGACGAAGTTTCCGCGGATGCGAAAAAGCTACCAGTGCGAATGGTGCTTTCGTGTGCTAACGAGACGTTGAGGGTGGACCGAGAGTTGCGATTGCATAACAGCGTAAATCCGAGAGGCACATTAGGAATACAAAGCTTCTCTTTACGATAATCGATAAATAATTTCTTTTTATTGCTGAAAATAAATATAATTAACGATAATTATACTACAGTGGTTGCTTTTTTTACAATATGTAAATGTGAATAATTTTCCATCGTTTTCGACATATTACATATATTTCAATAAACGTTTTAATTCATCGTCAAATAAATCGGTTAAATTTATTTTATATTTTGAAATATTCAATGAACATTTCAAAGTAAAAAAGTCGGCAATACGCAAGACTACAGTTAAAGCAGCATCTGCAGTACAAAGTGTTTCTGCAATAAATGTTTGTGTGGTTCAACAAAGAGAAAGTCAAAATGATGTTCTCTGACGACATAGCAGGGTCACAGCAGAACAGTCAAATACCGAGGGCAACCGTACGGTAGCGAATTCTTCCAAAGAATTAAGCGGGCATCGGCCATCGAGCAAAAAGCAATTCCATGCCGGCATCGCTACGCCCGCCGCCGTCACAGGTCACAGAGATATCACCGGGTCCGGTGCGCAATTCATTTCGCGCTTTGCCCCGACTGCGTCGGGCGCAAACGGGGCGAAAAAAAGCGCCGTATCCGCAGATAGTATATTTATTGATACGGGAAAACAATTGGGTCGAATTTATTATTTCACGCGTGCCCGCGCACCGACGCGCGCCGTTGTTTTTGTTTGCCCTCATGGGATCGCGTTTTATTCGCGTGGACTGTACACAACCGCGTTTCATACCGCCGGTATCTTCGAGTGTCCTTTTGAATGGCCGCTATATTTTGCGACGTTCCGATAACGTTTGAAAAGTTCGATCGGTCGAAAGCGAGTCAGCGTTTAGACCAACGTGATACTAAATTGATGCATACGCGTCGATCTTCGCGATGATCGAGTTACGCAAAGGTACAGCAAAAACTAGCAACTCTTTGCCATCTGAGATAATTTCGAGTAATGTTAAATCTTCTATTTCTATCGCTATTAACACTGTATAATGGCACAATCAATATCCTTCTTCAGAATGTTATAACGTTTTACGTAAAGTTCAAAAAACGTATTTTGTAAATTACGATTATTTGGAATTATGTAGAAATATATGTTATGAATATCGATTATAGATAGCAGAGTGATTAATGAAAATATATTTATCATATGTTTATTTTAAAAATCAATTGTAAAAAAATTTGAGGTTTTTTTTATCAATATAAATAAATGCATCAAATTAGGATAGAAGAAAGAGAAAAGTAGATTTTATTATCTTTTAATGACAAAATAAATTGGTTTTTTCTATATAACTGCAGTATGCATTTAAATCCAATCATTCTAAATTAAATATAAATTAAATAGCTATATTTGTGTTGCATTCTCACGAATATTTTACACAATCGTGTGTATGCTCATGTTGGGACAATAATGTACAATCAAGCAATTGCTCACATAAGTTCGTATATGTATGTGACATTATACTAAGGCAAGTTGACCAAACTAGCAATTCCACTACGATAAATAATAAATTTGGTTGGTTGCAAATATAAGTTTAACTTTATATATAATATGTGTGTGTGTGTGTGTGTGTATTATATGAGTATTCTAAAAAAAAATTTAAAAGAGAATTTATAAAATTAATAATAAGAAGAATATCACTTCTATATAACGAAGACCCGCACGCCAATTGCAATACGCATTCAGTAATCGAATTCGTGCAAAATAAAAAATAAACTGAATGATAAAATTTCTGCAAGTCAATATTTTGAACCGCGCTACGAATCTATATGCAATATTTGCTATTTCCATATTTCATCATTTTGCTATTTTTATATTTATAAAAAAAACTTGGAAATTGAACTCTCTCAACAAGTTTGATTATCCAAAGCTGATTATAGCTAAACTGTACAAACAAAAACAATATTTGCTACAATTTACATGCTTGTGTGGATTTATATTCTGGCATAAGAAGAATTATGCCGAAATATAAATTATTACCGTTATAGAATAGCTACTTTCTCTTAGTATAAATTAAAAAAATATTATAAAATGTACGAATTTTACTTTCTGTCTATGATAATTTGTTAAAAATAACTTCTATAAAATTACAACAAACTTTTCACTCAGAAATCACTAAAAAAATAATAAAATAAAATAATACCGTTTCAACGAATAACACAAGCGTTCTGCATATCAAACTTTCTATATGTATATCCTGCTTGTTGAAATCAAAAAGGTCAGATTCTTGTACGAACGAATATCAGATAGTATCAGATAGATATACAGACCATATCAGGATCAAGTATATAAAAAGAAACAAAAGACTAATTTTGAAATGCGAATAAATTCGAAAACCTAGTCAGAATATTTGTAATTTAATGCAATTTAAAGTTGTAATATGGATGGTATAATGCTATAATAAAATTCTTATAGATTATGATATAAGAATTTTAGAAACGTATAATAAAGAGTAATAAATACGTATATAAAAACAATTTCAATACCTGCACCTTGTTCTTTTTTAAATGCAAATTAGAGCAAACCGTGATTGACGGCTCGATAACACAATAGAAGGAAACAAATAACTAATTTCTTTATTCTATTTCTCCTTTATTTCACATTTAATTAAAGCGATTATTATTAGACAAAAGCCAATAATTCACTATTATATACCAATCATTACAAAGCATGTTTTATATCAAAAGCATTATTTTACAAATTAACAAACGAAAGATCCAAAATTAAATAATATATTGATTACACTCCCGGGTACTCATTTATATCATAATAATTTTGCGTTATTTTGCCATTTTTGTTCATTTAAAGTTTAAGGGATGCAAACTACTGAAGAATAGAACGTCCGCATATCATCCGATAAAGCAAGATAAAGCAGAATAGCCGACTCTTTTCTTTTCTCTCTTAGTCTTGGCGATATAGTCGACGATAGGACAGACCGATAAAGAAGAATCTTAACGAGGGGTTGCGGTGAAGTTAAACTATACGCTTATACGGGGTTGTACGGTGGCTGGGCGGTTTGCGGTGCGAGGAGGCCGACCGGTTATTAGAACGAGGAGCACGAGTTGCCGGGAAGGTGTCTAATAGCCCGCCAAGAGTACAATCGCCCTCGAAGGTTTTGGCGCGGGGGTACGTACTTTACATACATTTGCATCCTGCCGCCACAAATCCAGCCGATCGCGAAAGGTCGAGACTGGTAACGCGGGAAGGCGTCTCTATCTTGGCAAGCTCGAAAGGGTTTGCTGAGGTGTGAAATCTTTAATCTGTTCAACTGCTTTCTCGTCCGACAAAACGTTATTTCAGATTTCACAGCAAAGTTCAACGCAACGTTGTTTTAAATTGGCTATCGTAGAAAAACATCGAGCACACACACACACACATGCGTATATGTGTGGAAACTCAACCAAGATAGACCGCAATCGATATAGTACATTTATACTAGTACAAAATAATATGAATATTTTAATACTGTCCACTGACGCAATTAAATTTTTAAATTAAAGATTTTTTTATGAAACATTTATTTTATAAAATTATTTATATAAAATTTGTATTTAATCACACAATTCTGTTTTATACTGACTAATATACATATAAAAATATTAAACTTGTGCTTGTATGTGAGTATGCGTGTCACAAAGAGACGTTCCAGATAAACTGCGATCGATATTAAAAGTGATTTAGTAACGTCTAAATTAATTTCTTAATTCAAGAACTTTTATTACATCGTTCTATTGATTTTTATCACGAAAGTTTCCTTTATGCAGACGAATTAAAGTTTTTCTTCAAAATGGATATTTAACTGTACATCCGTTCATGAATGTTCGCTCGTCTTACTTAACTTCTAGTTAACGTGAGCTTTGCCATGTATCAATGGGATACTATCTGCGAGCTTGTTAAGAGATATAAATCAGTAAGCTTAGCTGAGGTATTTATGGAGATGCATTAGCTTTCCGCAAGAGTATAGAATGCCAGCATTTATTTGGTAATTTCCGGCAGTCTGATATTCATCTTTCAAATGCTATTGCGCCGGAGCGCGATAGAGCCGATCAATGATCTCTAGAAGTCAAGAATTGTGTCAGACCTTCGTCAAGCTAACCGATAATTAATAGTAGGGGGTAGATACTTTCATTAATTTGAGAAATAAGAGATAAGCTGAGGTTGTGTCCAATCTAATAAAAACAACAAATCAACTGTTAAGTATATATAAGTATAACGAAAAAATTTTGGAAATTTAAAAAAGAGAACTGTTTTATAAAAATCTTAATATATACTAAATGAAACAATAATAATTTCACTATTTTGTTAGTATAATTTTACGTAACAATTATTTAATTTAATAGTCAGTCAATATTTCATTAAAAAGTATTTAATTAAAAAGGAAATGTTATGATTATTAATTAATTGTAAGTAAAAACAAAAATAAAAGGTTAATACAAGAATAATATAATAATAAAGTTCATAATGGTGTTTTTCTAAAAATGAGTTAATTAAAGTAAAGATGGGTGGACAATTATTATGGTGTATATGATGTTTTCTGGAAAACCGCGAAACAAATAATCAAGGATTGAATATCGGTGTCTTGTAGTAGCAATCACGGCTTTCTCTAGAGGTACTACGATGTCCGCTAAGACGACCGTAGTTGGCGAAGTTTGACAAGTTGGCGGTAACAGGGACGGTGGTACCAAGTGCCAAGAAAGTTCCGAGGAAGGATCAGTTGATGCATAGTCACGGGAAGAAGGATGCGCCCTGCCAGCAAAGGACGTGTTCCGCGGGACAATCGCGAGTTACATATACATGGAAAACGCTGAATCTGCCTGTGCTTAGTCGAGTTTCGCAAGGACTAGTCAAGGATCCCGGACTTTCTGGATAGCGGGTTACAAATTCACGAGCAATCTTGAACGTACGATTTGCTCGCAAATATTTGTCGGCAGCAGTCCTTAAATCATTCCGAGATTCTCATTCTCCACTCAATTTTCCGCCTTTTAGGCGTTATGAAAACTGGAAATTGCACGCAATAAGTTTAGTGCCGGTTTTAAATTATGTATTCGCATATATATAGCAGTCTCATTCTGACTTTAAGATGTACATATACCAGTTAACGATTATTTTTAAAAAGAGTTTGCATATATTTACACTATTATTAAATAATCAAAAATGAATAATCTAACGTTGATTATGCAAATGTAAATGTAATCATAAAAATAAATATAATTCAAAATTATATGCATTTTATAATAGTATAAATAGATAATTGTTATTATGTAGAACAAAAAATAAGTATATAAAAATAATGAATTTGTAACCGTATTTTTCTTAAGTAACATTCTGCTAGTATCTTTTGCTATCATTTTAAAGTTAAAGATCAAAATTACAAAATAGAAAAATTTTATCAAACATAAATGGAAGAAATATGAAAATAAAAATAGTAATGGGAAATAAAATATGCAACAAATATTTAAATAATGTTTTCTATTAATCTCAAAATAATATGTTTAAATAATTATAAATAAGTGATGGAAATTTTAGCAATAAATTTTATACGAGATAAAATGAACGGACCGCTCAAAGTTTGTACATTCAAAGCGTTGCATCTCACTGCCACTCATCACTGAGATTGCACGAGTTACATTTGCCAGATGTGTCAGGTGTGACATGTTAATCTATATTGAGTGCAGAGTGAAAATTATTTGTAATTTTTCAAACAGACCATAATAAAGCTACACATGGTATTATATTCATTCAGTGTATGTGACACACAATATTCTCGACGAAGGATATGAAAATGTTCTGCTCGACAAAACTTGCAATAATTATGATTTGTCACTTGTTTAATAGGACAATAAAATATTTGAGTTTAGCAATGTAAATAAAAATTAATGTTACGTAATTTAATTTAATTTATATCATTTTTACATACGCAGCAGATTTATATGTCTGCTCTGATAATATAGTATTTATCAGTATGTACATATGTTTTTAGGAAATCTCTGTTGCTTCTTCTTGCTGTCTCTTTCTCCATCTAACATCTTATTAATAACTCTAATTTAATATTAGTGTCTTAAATATTATTGAATAAGTATATTTTATATGTTAGTATTTAATAATTTTTAATTAATATCTTTTTAAATATAATTTCATTGTTACACAATGAATAAAGTTTTTTTTTATACCGCGGTAGTTTACTTTTTATAATTTTATTTTACGTTTTTTCTTTCTTTTATTTTTCTCGCAAGTGCAATACATTATTACAATTATATTTCGTAAAATATTAAATAATTTTATAAAATATTATACTAATTATATAATAAAAACAATTTTTTAATTAATTATTAAATTTAACTGACTTTAGAAAATATATTGTATTTTTATCAATAAAAATATATTATATTTTACAAATAAAAAATAAAAATAAATTATTTTGTGATATATGATAACATTTTATAAACAAATATTTATGATGCATTACAATTCAATATATTTAAATATATTTAATATATTAATATGTTAATATAAATTAATATATTATTAAATACATTTAATGTATCCACAGTTAATGCTTTCTCTTGGATTACGTATGTAAATTTTATATGACATTGATTATTCTTTTGTTTAAAATTATCCTTCTGTTTACATTGACAAACATAATAATGCTTATTTTTTAATGGTAAACGTAATATAACAAAGAGGAAATTTTTAAATCAGTATTAGAAGATCTGGATCTTTACCAACGACTTCGAGAAATCCAGTGATGCTGGACATCGGATCAGTATTAACCTGGCACATGTACCAACCGCTGTCGGTCTTGCGCGTTTCCCTTATGTGCAGAGACCACGCACGATGGCCACTATGTGTCACAGCGATCCGATGATTCTTCGTAATAACGTGAGTTGCTATCGTCAGAATCGTCTGCGTATCGACACGTAGCCACGCTACCTGTAACAAAAAAACGATGACAGTCAATTAAATAACCCGTTCAAATAAAACATACAAGGTTGGATGCCAGTCTTGTTTATATATCGAGTTTTTAGGCAATAATATGAACAGAACTTCAATTTAATTATAATAAATGTTAAAAATGTGATATAATGGAAGATATATATTTTATAGATAAAATAGATAAATTAATTCATGTCTACGGACAAGTAATTGTAAAACAAGGAAAATATAAAAAACAATACAAAAGTAAGAACTTTATTTTACAATAATAAAATTTCCATTTTAATTGGCTTCTACCAGCAATCAACGATGCGTACACGAACATTTTTGAAATCGTTTTTAAACATCTAGAAATATTTTTATCCCCGGAATATTCCTTTTACATTTTTAATATAACAGTTTTAATTACGATCGTTATTTCAAATTGTGCTTTATTAATTCCTATCTAGAATAATTACAGAAATAATTAAGAAAATGTCATTTAAAAATAACGAAGCGACTTCTTCAATTAAAAATGATTATATGTTTGCTAACCGTTTTGAGACATGCATTTCGAGAATATATGGATGGAATTAAATTTTCGAGATGCACATTCCATATCCAGCTTTCCCGCAGCACTATCATATTCAGAGTGATAACAGACGCTAGTAGGTACTTTGTACCACTTTAGCCTGTTGCAGGTTGCGTTAGCGGAGTTAATAATGTATCGTATCATGTTGTAAAACGGATTTACATTACAAGTTTCGTTCGATAAGAAATGAAAGAAAGGAAAGCTTTAAAGAAAAAATTTCAATTAATTCCGTTAAATTACAATAATTAGTAATTGCTAAAAGAAGCTTACTCAAAACATATTATTTTTCTTACAATTTTGTATCAAGTAATGGTTTCAAAAAGTCAATATTCAAACTTTATTTGGAGTTATCGTCATAACTATTTTTTTCCATAAAATAAGAATTTGTTTATTATACGATAGGTACACACACACACATACACACACATATATATATATATATATATCAATAAAGAAAAATGAAAAATAAATATTGATTATTAAGAATTTTTATTTTTCTGAAGCAAATTGTAAATACAATTTTATAACATGTATTTTTAATATTGATATAACAAAAAATATGTTATAACTTAAGCTTTATACCATGATTTTACATTTAGTTGTATTAATTTTATATGTTTACATTATATATTATTTTATAAACATACAACTTTTGAATTTCAATATTAACAAATAAAAACATGAGCATTTTAAGTAAAATTATAGCCATACTTATTCGAATTTGGATTTCATAATTGAAACAATGTATTAAATTCCTCGCCAAATAATGTTCAAGAAGATGTTAAAGCTGTAAGTATCAAGTTACGAAGCTATCAGGCTGAGACGCCAAATCAACGGGAATAATAATGTGTGCGACCTAGTTACCGCTTCATATGTCGTGTACCATTTTCTACGAAAGCGCACACAATCCTTTTATCTGATCCAATATTCGCGAAATATAGCAAATGCACTGTGAAACACGTCTATCACTTTGTAGATTGCATCACGACCTAGCCAGGATCTCTCACTAAAAAAGTAAATAGTATTCTTACTCTTTGTACTTATTCTTTACAGGAAAAAAAAGATAAATCTTTCTGGGACGGAGTCGCATGCGGTTTTACTTATGGATGTCCGTTGCGAGTCTTCCGCTTTCCGTGAGTCACATCCCTTCTTCCCTGTCCCCGACCATCCTCAACCATCGTCTTTCCCATCCTCATTGCGGAAGCTGTCAACGCGTCTCATCGCCCGAGTGCTACCGACAATGTACTCGAAGCTTTATACCAACTATGCTCGTAACATAAAGAAAGCGGAGATAGAGAAAGAGAGAAAGACAAGAAGATAAAGAGAGAAGCGCAGTGAAAGAAAGTCAGAGAAAGAAAAAACAAAAAAAAAAAAGAATTCATGTTACGCCAAAGTCGTAATACACTGAGGTACGCAACATCCGCTTCTTTTTCGCACGGCCCGTAGGCAACGTGTCGCATACAACGCATCTCCACCGCGTGTCCCGTGTGTGCTGGACAGGCATAGATGCTCTAGTCACGAGGAACGACGAGCGGGTAAAAGGGAGAACATTTTGCAGAGAACGAAGACGAGGGCGAGGATGAGGACGAGGACGAAAGCGGAAAAGCGGTGGTTATGTCCGTCGAGAAAGAAACCCGGAAAAGAAGGTGCCGGGGTGCACCAGAGCGAGCGGTGAAGAAAGCGGTGGTGAAGCGCGGACGACGAAGGGGTAGGAGGGCAAAGAGGTTGTAAATTGTGTGCTCAAGACGGGGGTGCAAGAGCTCTCGAGGTTGATAAAAGAGACGTGTGCAGCGTGACCGTGCGCGCGCCTGTATGCATATATATATACACTCCGTTTTCTTTTTCCTTCTCTCTCCGGTGGTATCGGCGCATATACGCCTATTACGTACGCATGATGAGCTCTATGAACGCGCGTAATGGAAGCGCATCATCCTCCCGTCCGTGAGCCGCCGTCGGCTGCAATTACTCAAGCTCGTGTACGACCGAAATGCAACCACCGCGAACGTGCCGTGGTGCAGCGCGGAGCGGAACGGCACGTTTCGCTTTTACAAACGATCCGTTTCGCGGTAACGATATAATTGCGCTTGTCGCAATGTAATCTCGCCTGGTGCGTCTCGAGCGCGTCTGAATAAACGCCACGGAATTCTCTTCTTCCTCTTCTATTCTCCTTTTCCTCACATCCACAACCACCAACAGCGGAATGCTTCCGTATCCACTTTTTTTTTCTTTTCGTTTTGACCACTGTTGTGTTTCCTGCCTTGGACGTGCCATAGCCAACCGGTTTGCCAGCTGAAAGCGGCGAGAGAGGAAATCAGAACTCGGCGGGAACTCTTTATTTCGAAAAAGAAAAAAAAACAAGATAATCAATAGGTTCGAATGAATAAATCCAAAGAAATAGGTGAAATGCCAATATGAGCCAACACAAGTTATTAGTGTGTGCTTTTAATACACACTTTATTCGAAATGAATAGCATACGTTTCGGTTCAGGTCTTCTTCAGTACAAAGTAAATTAATTAAATATAAACGTTACATACATAAATAGTAACGCATACAAAATATTAAGTATTGAAGTGTGAGGTAAAAAATACTGTGGTAGTAATATCCGAATTAAAATTAAATTTTGTTCATCAAATTGTTAAGTTACTAAAAATGTTGAAGAAGAAAAACCAAAAGAGTTAAAAAATATTTTTAATTTTTAATAAAAATATGATAAAATATGATAAAATTGGCTTACATGATTGTCAAGATTAAACGATTTTTGTTTACTTGATTATACAGGTTCCATTAGACTGTTCAGTTTACTGTGTAGACGAAATTTTTAATAAATTAATGTAAAGTTATTATAAATTTTGATAATTAATATAAAACATTAGTTCACTTACATATGAAATTTAAATGAAAGTTATTAAACACGACTGTTTGCCAGACCAATGTGAAATGAAATTACGAGAAACAGTGAGGAACGGAATCTGTACCCTAATGACAATATGTATAAATAATAAATAATAAATAGGCAAGAATAAATAATATAGAATAGAAACACTCTCTACGTCCTAGAAAATAAATCTGTATATAAAGGATCAAGAGAAAGTGTGTCATGTTTTGTAGAGTCAGACCTAGTTTTTGTCTTTTGATATGTATTATCTTTGATATCAGTCTTTTATTTAAAATGTGTTCTCTATCTAAAATATGTCTATTATCCCAATCAAATTCGTGAGATAAGTCAGTACGATGTTGTGTGAACCGAATGTTGAGTCGTGTTTCTTGACATGATTTCTGTGTTTTTTAATGCGCGTTTTTAAGCATCTGCTTGTTTGTCCTTTATTTTCCTTTAACTCTCTATTTTCATTTACGACAGTCGACTGATACGAAACGATACCTCTGTGTACACATCTACTTTTTTTTTATTCGGATTCTTTCCTCAGCATCTTTGCCTTTCCATTCCTCTTCACAACCACCCGTTGCACCGTTCCTCTCTCGCCTCATCTCTTTTAGTTGCGGTAAGTACGGAAGGTATATCTGCGGGTAGTTCTTTAATTTCGCGAAATATCTTCCCGAGAGGTATGGCCGCTTTCGCGACTCGAACTTACGGTGAAAAATGACTCGGGCAAGTTTGCTTCGAAGGTGTACCATGTCCTGGCCCTCGGACGATCGCTCATTCTTTCTTCTTCGATTTCTCTTCCGTTCGCCTGCGCTCGCGCAATCGTCGCCGGATGTAAGTGACGATGGAGAACGCTGTGCGATGAATACGCCAAAAGTGTAATGCCGAGATCTCGATATACGTCGTGATATCTTTAGAGTGAATAATTTTTTACGCGATATCCTTAGAATTCTGAAGCATTCTATATCGGGATAACAAGATTTATCGGTACTCTTAATTATCGTCAAGTAGCGCTTCTAGTTACGGCACTAGTTGACGTAATTCTATTTATTTAACTAATTGGATGGCACAGAATTGTGTCCGCGTTACCACGAGTGCTTTTAAATAATTAGATTACACATGTATATACACCTATCCACATACTAATACCCTACGGCATAAAGCTTACATCTAGTATATATCTCAAAAATGTTTTGCTCGCTTTAAGCGAACATTATTTAAAATTACGCTTTCCAAATATACAAGTTAATTTTACTTACTAGCACTGTTATTGCGATTAGAGTTTGTAAAACATTTAGAAAGAGTACAAATGTGGCAAAAAGAGGCAACATAAACGTGTAATACGTAATATTACACACACATATCTACAATACAGCGAGAAATTAAAACTACATTACGAGTTATATACGAGCACCTCTTATGTATGATACATCGCTTGAATATCGTTATATCTAAAGAGATGGTCTTTAGATGTGCGCAACGTCGTACGCGATATGAATAAGAAATAGTATTTTTTCCGCCAACGCGATGTGTACTGTGCCTAC